AAAAACAAAAAGAAAAACCTAACCAAAATGAAACATTTCAGTCCTACAAATGCATTTAAAAGAAACCATTTGGTAATAGTATTTGGAGCCCTTCTCAGAGCATGTCTCCTACATTTCAGATGAATATATGAAAAAAGAAATCATGTTTCTACTTTTGAAAGGAAGTGAGATCAGTGAAAAGGAGAGAACCCTTAGTAAAAAACTAAACCACAGGGATTTGTGTCTTTATGTGTTGATATGTCATAGTGTAACAGTAATTTATACTTTCATCTGAGAAGATATTCAAATAACATTTTTTCACTTAATACCACTTGAACAATATTTTTTTCAAGGCAAAATAGAAAAAATGTAAATAGTAAGGAAATTTGGCTTGTATTCAATAAAACTAGAAATGTGCTACATTTCACAAAGCGTACTCTATCTTTGCACTCAACAATGCTTTCAGTTTTATACAAAACCCTCAACATTTACAGTTTTTAGTAGATGAGTAAATAATATAGCTACTTGAAAACATGGATAGAGTAGTCCCAGGACACTCAACACATAAATTGTCCTTTCCCTCCGCTCACTTCAAATTGCTTATTTTAGTTTCCTGAATTGACTAGAAAATGTTTTGATACATACACAAAATATTTAGTATGTATTAAGTGCTTTTAGTAGCAGAATAAACTTTGGAGTATGTAATTTTACTTAAATGCTTTAATAGATTATTACCTTTGTCAAAAGTGTTTTGTTTCGTTTGAGACTTTCAGAATAATTTATTTTTTAAAATATGTTTTTATTGATTATGCTATTACACTTGTCCCAATTTCCCCCCACCTTGCTCCCTTTCCATCTAGTACTCCCCCATTCTCTTCAGCAATCCCTCTGTTAGTTCATGTCCATGGCTCATGCATATAAGTTCTTTGGCTACCCCCTTTCCTGTAGTGTTCTTAACACCCTCCTGTCTATTCTGTACCTACCAATGTGTACTTCTTAATCCCTGCACCTTTTCCCCCATTTCCCCCCTTCCCTCTCCCAACTGATAACCCCTCAAGTGATCTTCATATCTGTGATTCTGTTCCTGTTCTACTTGTTTGCTTAGTTTGTTTTTAAGATGAATTATTGATAGTTGTGAATTCATTGCCATTTTAATGTTTATAGTTTTGATCTTCTTTTTCTTTTCTTAAAGAACCCTTTATTTACTTATTTATATTTTATTTATTTATTTTTAGATAGTGGGGAAGGGAGGGATAAGGAGAGGGAGAGAAATATCAATGTGTGGTTGCCTCTCATGTGCCCCATACTGGGGGCCTGGCCTGCAACCCAGGCATGTGCCCTGACTGAGAATCCAACCCACAATCCATTGGTTCACAGGCTTGTGCTCAATCCACTGAGCCATGCCAGCCAGGGCTGATCTTCTTTTTCTTAAATAAGTCCTTTTAACATTTCATATAATAATGGTTTGGTGATGAAGAACTCTTTTAGCTTTATCTTATCTGGAAAGCACTTTGTCTGCCCTTCCATTCTAAATGATAGCTTTGCTGGATAGAAAGAATCGTTTATGTTGTAGGTCCTTGCTTTTCATTGATTTGAATACTTCTTGCTAGTCACTTCTAGCCTGCAGTTTCTTTTGAGAAATCAGCTGATAGTCCTACAGGAACTCCTTTGTAGGTAGCTCTCTGCTTTTCTCTTGCTGCTTTTAAGATTCTTTCTTTATCTTTAACCTTTGGTATTTTAATTATGATATATCCTGGTATGGTCCTCTTTGTGTCCATTTTGTTTGGAAAATTCTGTGCTTCCCAGATTTGTATGTCTATAAATTTTCTTTCATTAGTTTTTCAAGTAGATTTGCAATTTCTTGCTCTTCCTCTTCTCCTTCTGGCACCCCTATGATTTGAATGTTGGTACATTTGAAGTTGTCCCAGAGGGTCCTTAGCCTGTCCTAATGCTTTTTTTAATTCTTTTTTCTTCTTGCTATGCTGACTGAGTGTTTTTATTCCTTATGTTCAAAATTATTGATTTGCTTCTTGGCTTAATCCACTCCATGTTGATTACCTGTAAATTTTTCTTTTTTTCCCTTCATGTAACCTTCATTTCTGTGTGGGTCTTTTTTTATGCTGTTGAAGTACTCAATGAGTTCCATGAGCATTCTAATAACAAGCGTTTTTTTTTTTTTTAAGATTTTATTTATTTATTTTAGAGAGATGGGGAAAGGAGGGAGAAAGAGAGGGAGTGAAACATCAATGTGTGGTTGCCTCTAGAACACCCCATGCTGGGGACATGATCTGCAACCCAGGCATGTGCTGTGACTGGGAATCAAACCAATGATGCTTTGGTTCACAGGCTTGTGCTTAATACACTGAGCTACACCAGCCAGGGCACAAGTGTTTTAAATTCTGCATCTGATAGAGTGCTTATGTTCATTTTTTTTCTGGAGTTTTGATCTGTTCTTTCATTTGCACCATGTGTCTTTGTCTCCTCATTTTGGCAGTCTCCCTGTGTTTGTTTCTATGTATTGGGTAGAGCTGCTTCAAATCCCTGTCTTAGTAGCATGGACTACTCTAGAAAAGCATACCTGTAAGTTGGATGCAGCAGAGACTTAGGTATTCACCAGGGCAGGACAACCCTTGTGAACCAGGTTGATGAAGTATCAGATATGGTGTTGCTGCTGTGTAGTTCAGTGTGGGGAGGCCTCAGAAAAGGGAGGATGTCCACTCCCTGGCCTCTGGGGTTTCATCCAGGAGGAAGCTGTCCTCTGGCACTTGTCCCGATGTTGGATACTTCCATTTCTCCCTCTATGCCACTGGTTCCCTTCCAGCTGCTTCCCCATTGTTGGAGCTCAGAGCGAGTGAGTCTGCATAAGTCCTAAATCTGTTTTGAGCTTTTTAAGAGGTGATGCCTGAGAATACTGCAGTTTTTCTGCTGCCCTAACCCCCACTGAGTTTTATAGCCAAAAGTTATGGGGACTTATCTTCCTGGCACTGGAACCCTGGGCTCAGTGGTCTGGTGTGGGGCTGGATCCTTCCTCCTGAGGTATCTCTCCTGATTTTTACCCTCCAGAAGTGGGTGTATGACTGCCCTTTCTGCGTTTCCATGTCTCTGCCCCCTCCTACCTATCTGGATGAATATGACTTATTTAATTCCTTGGTTGCCAAACTTCCATACAGCTCCAGTCTTCTGACAATTTCTGAGTGATAGTTGTTTTGTAGTTTAGTTGTAATCTTTCCTGTGGTTGTGAGAGGAAATGAGCCATGTTTACCTATGTCTCCATGTTGACCAGAAGTCCTATCCATTCTCTTTGTTTTTAATATCAAGCTTTGCTAAATACACATGAAAGAATTATCTGTATTATGAGTATATTTGATTATAATCATATTTGAAATTCACTATTTTGATTATGTACATATTTCTATGTTAAGTTACTGGGGACAGCCTTTTGGCAGATTTCCCATTATTCTCAAGAATACTTCAAATATCCATTTTTATAGTAAGAGAATTGTGGAATGTAGTTAAATGACATAACATCTGAAGAACAGTAAGTCTTCTGGACTCTACAGTATTTGCCTGTATTTTTTTAAAAAAACAAATTATGTTGTTAATCTAAGAATTAGTGCATGTTAAGATAAGAGTCAATAAGGATAATTTTTTTATAGGATAGTTTTGTATGTGTGTCTGCTATGTATCAGGTGTATAGTATGGAAGAACCTTGGTGAAGCACTGAGCTTTCATTTACACTTACAGAGACAGATCATGATTATCTTTGAATATATACAATAACACATTTATGGATGGGTACAGGAAAAGGACCCAGTAGCATGTGAAAGGCTGAAGAGCAAAGATATGCTGATTTTATGGAATTAGGCCAGTGGGAGTTTGAAAAGCTAGTAAGAGTTTCTCAGGGGAAGGAGTTTCCCTCTCAGGTAGGGGTATGGCAAAAAACAATAATTTTCTCTCCTAGAATCACTGAGATTGAGAGTCGAGTTGAAAGGATTGATTCTGGAGAAGAGATAGACCCCATAAAAATGTGTATTCATTCATTCATTGGCTCATTCATTCATCTACACATCCATTATCTATCCATTCATGGAGCCAGTTAGAAAATTAAAGAGGAAACAGTTATTCTCCAATAATATCTACAATAATACACAGAGAAACTGAAATAAAAGTAGTATTTTCTATTTATTTTTTTGTTTTAGTCTTTATGGGTATCATAGGGAATCTCAGGATATTTTTCAGGGGAAGAGTCTTAGGTTCTCAGCCTACAATACAGGAAACTACAGAAGGAAATAGATACTAGCTAAGTGGGAAGATTTTGCACTGACAGTAATATACATTTCTGTGGACTATAAATTTATTTATTTTTACACTTGAAAATTTATTACCTTTATTTTAAATATAATTTGCCAGTTTCATAATTTTAAAAATTAAATTTATTATCAATGTCTTCCCAGAGGCTTTTTTTTAAAAAAAACAATAACCATGCCAATTTATATTAGTTTCTTTTCTGTACAGGAAAGTAAACTGCCTCCAATTTTTTTCTGCAATCAAAACCCTCAAATAAACAATACTGAAAACATGTCTTACAAAGTCCTACCTGAGCCCTCATCTGAGTCATCATTAATCAGAACAGGGACAAAATAAATGGGCTCTGGCTGCCTCAGTTCATGGAGGTCAAAGGACTTGGGTACTGTAAGATATATCTCACCAACGTGGCCATTCTTTTTGTCACTGAAGACTTGTGATCAAATGCAAACCCACCTGGGCTGAGTTATTATTTAGTCATGATATGCTGGTGTGGACTAATTTGTTAGAGGACCTAAGCTCAGACAGCATGACCTCAAAGAACACTTGGAGAATATCACAGTTCCGTGTTGGTGGACATGATAACTGGGTTTTGGAGGGCTACAGCAGATATTAGGAAGAGGTCCTGAAATCTCATGTACTCTATGATTTGAATTAGTGGCTTCCTGTAGAACATGTTTTTTGAATTAATAAATATGCTTTGTTTTTGTGCACAGACAGCATGTCAGCTGAAACACCAATCGCACTGAATATTGATCCCCAGGATCTACATGTCCAAACATTCACTGTAGAAAAGCTACTGGAGCCTCTCATAATCCAGGTATCAATAGCATAGAAACTAGTGTACGATGTTCAGTAAATGCAGAAGAACTAAAAAATGTGGGAACCAAGGGAACATTTGGTTTTCGTAGAATGAGTATGTCCTCTAAAATTGTCTTTTAGTTTTGTTAAAATGTAAAAAAGTATGTATTTAGTAATCATAATAATAAAATTCTGAAAATCTGCCCCCATTCTCTTTTCAAAGCAACAGCATTAAATAATATGTATATGTAGTTTCCAAAGTACCTATATATAAATTACTTTGTTTTATAGTCATGAAAATTGTAAGGCGCAGCATGGTTAAAACCATCCTTATGTAGATGAGGAAACTGAGCCAAGAGAAGTTTGTTGACTTGACCTAAAGTACACAGTGGCTCATTTGTCAAGTAGGAAATTATTTTTAAAATAACGAAATGTATGAGAAAATCAGCTATTTAAGGAATTCTGTGATAAAGTCTTTTATAAAGCAAACAATCATTTGATAATATGTTTAATGATTGTCTGGTTTATTTATTATGTAAGTCCCTTTTCCTAAGACCACAAAGCATTCAAAGGTTTGTTGGTGAAAAGTTATACTAACTTTACTTCTGATAACTTAGAAATGTTCTGCTTATCTTCTTTGTGGGGTGGATGGTGGGGAGGGTAGTAACTACACATGTATGTTTTACTTAGCACAAGTAGGTATCAGTTACTGGAAGGACAATTCAAAACATATGCCTCACTGATGAAGGCTTAATTATGAACCTTGGCAGTCTTAGTAGCACTAATATCTGGTATGAAATCGATGCAGGATGATTATAGGGACTTCATTAAAGTCCCTGTCTTAGCCACTCACTGAATGGTCTCATGTTAAAAAGAAACAGAAAATCTTATTTATTTTTTCTGATAAAGTTCACTGAAAAAAATTGGGAGAGCAAAATAAAACAGAACAAAAACAGAAATAAAGAGAAAAAAGTTCATTCATGATTTTACTACCAAGGGATAAAGCATGAATGTTTTGATGAATTTACTTACAGTACAGTAAAATTATGGGTGCTTTTAATGATCTTCTTAGTATTAATAATATTAAAGAGTATATACATACATTCTTATATATAAAGAATATATGTAAAAAAGGCAGAGAATAATGTATATGTAGGTTTTATCTCACTGTTTCACTTCAAATAATATTTTGGTAATTCCCCATTTTTCTGTAAACATGCTTAATTAAAAGTGCTGTTTAATTATACATCATATGGTTGCACCATAGTTTTTTTAAGCAGCCTCTTATTTTTGGATATTTAGGTTGTTTCTATTTTTTGCTATTATAAAAATGTCCTGTTAAACAATTTTGTTTATAATTTTTGTCATGAGCTTGAATTGTTTCTATAGAATTAGATACTAAATGTAACAGTAAGTGGCCAAGATATGAGAGTTCTTATTCCTTTTCACATATATCACCAGTTTTGGGGGGGATAGTTTTACAGGAGTTCTATGACATTTGAAATGTTGTTCCTATGCTACTGCTGGGTGTGGGATAGGCAGATAGCCTTCATTTTGGAGATGGCTGGTAAGGGCAAGTGCATCAATGCCATTGCATAACACTCGTTTGTTCTGTAAGAGTGAAACACTGAGTTGGCCACTTAATACCCCCTAACAACAAAGGCTGCTGACATATTGCTTATGAGTACAGGAAGTATAGTTATAGAGAAACTATTTTTTTATTATGATTGAAACCAACAGGTGTTTTGCTTTGTCAAGTACATTAATATAGCAGTCAACAGAGAGTATTCTAAACAAATGTACACTGAAGTATATGCTGTTCTCCATTTGCATCTATTGTCTGGTGTGTCTAAAAAACTGTTGTATTAATCTGTAAACATTTATTGAGTCCATGTACAAAATTAAAAGGGTGAAAATGACCTGAAGTAATTTTATTTGATTGGAAACAAATTTAACTCCTTTAAAACGTGTGATTATGCTAATTTTAGAGGGCTTTTAAAATTATTGATTTATTTTTTGTTTAAAATTATTTTATTTTACATAGATTTTTAAAATTATCCTATTACAGTTGTCCCATTTTTTTCTCTCCTTTATCCCCCTCCATGCTGCATTCCCCCTCCCACCACTATCCCTGCCTTGGTTCATGTCCATGGGTCATACATATAAGTTCTTTGGCTTCCCCATTTCCTATACTGTTGTTAACCTCCCTCTGTCTATTTTGTAGTTACCAATTATGCCTCTTATTCCCTGTACCTTTTCCCCCATTCTCCCACCACCCCCTAGCTGCTGATAACCCTCCATGTGATCTCTATTTCTGTGATTCTGTTCCTGTTCTAGTTGTTTGCTTCATGTGTTTTTGCTTTGGTTTTTAGGTTCAGCTGTTGATAGTTGGGAGTTTGATGTCACTTTACTATTTATAGTTTTGATCTTCTTTTTCTTAGATAAATTTCTTGAACATTGTATATGATAAGGGCTTGGTAATGATGAACTCCTTTAACTTGACCTTATCTGGGAAGCACTTTATCTGCTCTTCCATTCTAAATGAAAACTTTGCTGGATAAAGTAAGTCCTTGGATGTAGGTCCTGGCCTTTCATGACTTAGAATTCTTCTTTCCTGCCCCTTCTTGCCTATAAGGTCTCTTTTGAGAAATCAGCTGAAAGTCTGATGGGAACTCCTTTGTAGGCAACTGTCTTCTTTTCTCTTGCTGGTTTTAAGATTCTCTCCTTATCTTTAATCTTGGGTAATGTAATTATGATGTGCCTTGGTGTGTGCACATCACTTGGATCCACCTTTTTTGGAACTCTGTGAGCTTCCTGGACTCCCTGGGGTTATTTCCTTTGCCAGATTGGGGAAGTTATTCTTCACTATTTTTTCAAATAAGTTTTCAATTTCTTGCTCTTCCTCTTCTCCTTATGGTACCTTCATGATTTGAATGTTGGAACATTTAAAGTTGTCTTGTACTTTCCTAAGTCTCTCTTCATTTTTTTGAATTCTTGTTTTTTTCATTCTGTTATGGTTGAATGTTTATTTCTTCCTTTTGCTCCAAATTATTGATTTGAGTCCCAGTTTCCTTCCCTTCACTGTTGGTTTCCTGTATATTTTTCTTTATTTCATTTTGTATAGCCTTCATTTCTTCCTCTATTTTGTGACCATACTCAGCCATTCTGTGAGCATCCTGTTACCAGTGTTTTGAACTCTGCATCTGATACGTTGGTTATCTCCTCATCACTTAGTTCTTTTTTTGGAATTTTGATCCATTCTTTCATTTGGACCATATTTCTTTGTCTTGACACACCTGTTACATTGTAAGGGGTGGAGCCTTACGTATTAACAATGATGGGAAACCCACTTGGCTTCTTTGTGGTGCTATATGTAGGGGAGGGGTCTGAGAGGCAACAGTGCTGCTTGTTGGGCTCTCTCCCCACTTTCAGTCACTTCCTCTGCTACCCACAAGCAAATTGGGCCTTTCTGGTGCTGATTTTCAGGTGAGTCTGTGTACGTTCTAGGCCCCATGGGTCTCTCCAATGAACTGTCCTATGAGACTGGGAATTTCTCCCACTGCTGCAACCCCTACAGATTTTTATAGCCAGAGGTTTTGAGGTTTTAGTTTCCTCTGCTGGAACCCTGTGGTGCGCAGCCTATCTCTCTCATCAGTTGTTCCTCCTGGCTTATCTACACATGAATGTGGGAGCTCCTGGTACACCAGCCACTACCTTGCCTGCCGGGTTTGTCACCTTGCTGTGTGTCCTTTCTGCCCTGGCTGCCTATGTCTACTGCTTTTACCAGTCTGAATGAATTTTTCTTCTTTAACTTCTTTGTTGTTGGAATTCCATACAGTTAATTTTTCTGGCAGATCTGGTTATTTTTTGTTTTTAAATTTGTTGTTGTCCATTTTTTGGTTATAGGAGGAAGCAAAGCATATCTACTTTTGCCTCCATCTTGGCCAGAAGTCAAAAATTTTTTTATGTTAATGTGGTGTCTAGATTAAGACTTTTCCTGATCTGTAAGTAGATGAGTCAGGGAAAGGGAAATTAATACTTAATATATGCAAGATCTTAGTTACAAGTGAGTATAATTGCTCATTTTGTCTTCCTTAAGATTATTCAGTGATTTTGAAAATGTTTATTGATTTCATAAAGGTGATTCCATTTTACCAATATCCAAGTTAGAAAAAAGTTTCTAGATCTTATCAATATTTATATCAAATTAAATGAAAATATTAATAATTTATAGCATATTTACTATGCACAGAAACTACCTCATAAGGGAGAATTCCACTACAATAAACTTATTTGTACATTTAATTGATTTTCCCATTATAATGGAATTCTTCTTATTAAAAACCTGTGCATTTTAAAGTCAAAGAATTATTAATTTAAAGTAACTGACCTTTTGGATTTGATGCATAGTCTTTTTGTATCTATTACTTTGATAATGTATCACCTATTAGTACAAATAAAAAATAACATTAAATTATATTAAAGGTGTTTTTTCTAGAATAGCATCATATTAAATATCTCATCATGTTTTCTTCAAAGAGTGTTTAATGTGAGGTAGTTATATGGTTTTTTAAAGTATATATTATTGCCCTGGCTGGGTAGCTAAGTTGGTTGCAGCATCATCCCTGTGTACCAAGGTTACAGGTTTTATCCCCACTCACGGCACATACAGGAAGCAACCAAAGAATGCATAAATAAGTGGAACAACAAATCGATGTCTCTCTCCCACCCCTCTAAAAAATTAATAAAGTTTAGAAATACCTTAAGTATGTTATATAGTCTCTTACTGTATTGCAAACATTCTAAAAGAAGTTCACAACCTTTAACTTTATAGTGCTGCCAGATAAAGTTATCAATTTAGTAGCCCCATTAAAAAAATTCTCACATTTCCTCATTATCTGTCTTCATTTTATATTCCTTTGCTTTCAAGGTACCACAGATATTACTTACCACTTCTGTGTATAAGTCAAAATTCTATTTTAATTTTGAGAGTAATTGGTTATACATACTATTATGTCA